AAAGGCTTAAATGAAAGCTTGAGAATGGAAACTGGAATATATGGAAATTAGTCAATTTTTTACCAGATGATTTAGTAGAACTTAAACAATTTTCAAGGCTGTAAGTATTTTCTGTTGATTTTCACCACTTTTGAACAAGCTTATATCTTCTTCTTCTTTTTCTTCTTGCAATATGGTTATCCCTGCGATCCACAGCCTCGATCTTTCTTCCTTGATACAACAAAGGCTTCCTTGATACAGGCTGAGCTTATTCAGGTAGCACTTGATAGCCCTATGTATTATCAAGAGACCTGATCTGCACTTTATTCCTGCTAAACATTAGCAGTTCCTTTGTGGCTTTAGAATTAGGTCCTTGGATAAAGACCTGTGCCTCTGACTGTTACTCCAGCGGACAGTGTTACACCATACACGATTCAATTTCAATTATTAGTAAAAGTTATGAATAAATCAAAACATTTTGAATAAGTACTTCTTATTTTTATCATTAAGTATATTCTGGCATTCTAAAAAGCCTCATAGTCCAAAATAACATTTTGAATAAGTACTAATTATTTTTATCATTAAGTATATTCTGGCATTTTAAAAAGTCTCAGTCCAAAATAAGAAAAAACTAGATGTGAAAAATACTCTCTTACTTATAAATTATACGCTTATTAAAACTTCTCGTGGTAAATGCAGGCACACCACCATGCACAAGCTCGTTAAGACCTTTTGAAAAATTCAAAACACGCTTAAGAGCAGATAAGTTATATACCACCATAATATCGCCATGCCGCATCCCATATATCAATTAAAATTGAAAGGTTTTTGAACAAACTGATGAAGCGTTTTATAATTAATTGAAATTCTTCCTATCGCATAATTTTGAACATTATTACAAGTACATAGTTTATAAATGATATTTTATATCTGTATCAGTATAGTCAGAACAATTTGAGTTTGTAACATACGTTTAAATCCAATAATTTATAATCTTACTATTAATTATGCAGTGCAGTATAAAATTACTAAAGTCGAATTTTTGCTGTAAGAACATTATGAATTCGAAAAAAGAAATTATTTCATTTACTGTGAAATATAAGAACAACTCCAATTTTTAATAGTTGTACCGGTTTCTGTGATAGCTTTTTTATTTAAGTATCAATCTCAACTTGGAGAAGATACATTATTATTTCACTGATGGAGAAGTTGATGCTTGCAAGGTAATTATTTCTCTTAAGATGCTAATATGTATAATCAGATAAAGTATAATCAAGCAGAGTTAATTAATTTTTGAAAATTAGGTATCGTATTTTAAGATTTAAAAAAAATGAATTACGAAGGTTCATAAAAATATTCATCTACAGGAATGATAACATACAATAATTATTCCATTGCAGGTATATTTATTATTTCAGCGATGATCAATTTTTTAAGAATAATTGTCGATTCAGCATTCAGCACCATCAAGCATTTTAAATTTTTAATATGGTTAAAAAAATACAAAGAAACCTATTTACAAAGTTCATAATAATGCATTTATAAATAACACTCGTTTGTGCTATTCATATATTTAATAATGAATAGCAAAATGTTATGTGTTCAAGATACTCTCAAGTATCCAACAACTTCAACTATTTCAAATAATAAAGGCATTTTGAAAAAGCAATTAAGAGATAAAAAACGCTGATAAGACTAACAAAATATTGATCTAATAACAATTTGACGTTTATACTATTACGTCAAAAGCAACTTTTTTCCAAAGCCTACCATGACTTCACTGAATCATCGTTTCTTGTTCATTGTTATTAATATCTTAATTATTAGATATTAATACCGCTGGTATTATGGTATTTCGTCGATTTCAAAATGAACTAACTGTTTTTATCTTATTTTTTTGTTAGAATGGGCATAATTAAGAGGGCTACTGATACCGTGTTGTAAAAATAAGGTAATTAAGGGATTGTTTTTTGGTATTTATTATAATTTTGCTAATATCTTCGGTTTGAAAGAAGATATCAAGATGCGGTTTTCGCTGACTTTTTAAGCTTTTACTACTCTTTACTATCAGCTAAAATTACATATACTATTGCATTTAATTTTTTTGAAAAAACGCGCAATGTTTGTTTAATTGTACAACGCCCCCTAGCGTCTACGTTTAAAAGCTTATTATTATTATCTATATGGTACAATATAGAGTAAGAAACTCCCTTTTAAACGAGCCCTCGCTTGTTGGATTCCGATCATCCAGTCCAGAGTTATTAATATTTAAATAAAAACAGGTCTAACCTGCCCCCACCCCTTTATTTTGGTAGATATTGTAGATTGTAGATTGGTAGATACGGTAGATTCAAAATTTACTGAAGATTATGGATCTATTACTTATAGTACACCTTATCTAGGCAAAATTGTGTAAAAACTCCATTTTCATATTTTTTGTTGCAGTTGCGCCCCCTAGCGGTCGTTCTACAAACTTGATAATAATTTCCAGAAATTTCTCATAGCTCCTTTAGTCATAAATATTTTTTTCCGTAAACCCTACGGCTAATACTTTCCGATATACAGCCGAGAACTATTCTTAGTGGGACACCCGGTACTATATCGTGATAATTATATCGCGATACATAAAAATCGTCCATATCCATATCCATATCATTATCAATAAAATGATTGATTAAAAAATGGAACAAATTCATAAAGTCAGAAATTGAAGGTAGAAAAAGATTCAGCTCAATTCAAAGCACTCAAGCTTTATTCAGAACCTCTAAATTAGTGGAATAACTGGTTTCAAAACGTCAAAATTAGTAGTAGTAAGTTTCAATTAGATGAAAAAGTTAACAAACGATTAACTTTTTCCACTAATTATACTTCAAATTTGGCGAGTAAATATCATTTTGACTTTTTATTATCATTCTTCAAGGGTTAGAAATATAAGTACATACCTCTATGGTTAGAAAAAAAAGTTGATTGTTTTATAACCTTATGGCTTATGGCTTATGGCTTTCTCTAATACAACAGACTTCTGCAAGCTGTTGCTAGGATATTCTATTCATTTTAATGATATTTTTTAGACATAGTAAATGATCGTAAACTCTTAAGTATAATTGAAACCACTAATTTATTCCACTAACTTTGGCGTTCTGAATGAAGCTTAACTCTCATATTATATTATATATATTATATATATTGTAATATAATAATATGTATTGTCAATGATATAATAAATAACTAATATATTATATGTAGTTTTTATATTTGTTTTGCATATGGAAATGACGATTAAACAATATAAAATAGCTTCATATTCCATCTGAGAATAAAGATATTTCATTTAAAGAATAATCATCAAAATTGGAACACATGGAGCAACAGATGGAAACACAACATAGACAGAAAAGCATATTGGACAAGACAACTTAAAGCACATATAAAAAACTGCATAAATCAGAGTCATGGAGAAGTTAGCTACTCTGAATCAATATTTATTAGGACAGGAATTATTTATACAAAAATGAAACTTACCGATTACCGTCCAAAATGCATCTACGGTGACCACGATAACGACACAGCAGAGCACACAATTTTAGAATGCAAAAGGTGGACCTATGAACCAAATAAATTAATGGAGGGTATACATACAGGGGAACTAACTTACTCCAACTTGGATCTAATGATGCTTAAGTCAAATGAGAACTGAAAAGCAGTCCGTGAATATATGGAGGTGCTGATATCTACGAAACAAAACGAAGCTAAAAAGTTTGGAGAGTAAAAATCATTTAATGTACTTACCATACTGCTCAAGTGCCCTAGTTTCACGGAAATGCTCCATGTTCAAAGCTTTTAATTGAAACTGCCGAAAGGTAGTTCCTCGGGAAGATACTCAAGGCGGTTTTGGAGGGTTTTTTTAATCGGTAAGGTACCACCCCGACAGTACCACTTCGGTCTCTGGTTTGAAGATCCCCCCCCCCCGCCCCACACAAAAAAAATCAAAATTTGTCAATATTCATGCTATAATTAATTGAATTCGACTTGAACATAATTTAATATAATGACAATGGTGGCTGATCTTTAGCGAAATTAGTTAAAGCCAGATATTAAGCATTACAAATTTACCTCTCTTAGTTGATATTTCCGTGACGTTACTTAACGTAGAGCCTATTATCTGCGAAGGTACTGTAATATCACAAATTATCTCCCAACGAGCAGTTTTATACCGCTTCCAATAGTGGTCGTGGACGCTTCCAATCTGGTACGCGGTGGAGAGCCTAGAAGCTACCGCTTTCCCGTCCACTTCGGGCTTTAAAATATAAAACCGGCGCTCGATTACGTTACACGAGAGCCGCAATGGCGTAATTGGTCCGATTAAAGCAATATGCAGCGATCTACTTTATCGGCGCACTGAAATCGGTCTCCTGGTAGCCGTTTTGCCGCCTCAACACGCCGACTTCAATAAAGCGATCACGTTTTCGTGGTTATGGCAATCTTAATACCCCTTTAGATATGTTACCGATTATTTCGGTTTTGTCGTTTCTGTGCTATTTTTCCTATTCAATGTACAGGGTACACCAAATCGCGTGCACCACTATTTATTATACGAATAGTATTATCTTTCTTCTCATGGAACTTCTATTTATGGCCAAACATTAGGGTGAGCCAAAAAACTAACCTATCGAATTTATGGGTTAAAATGAACCTAATAAGAATTTTGTAATACGTTAAAGTATTGTAAATAAAGCAATAAAAGGATCTAAGTACAATGTTTTCAATAAGTTGATATTTAAAACTTACCCTTAAATATAGATTAATTATTATTTTGATATTTGAATTCGAATTGTGATTCCAGTGATTTATTGGACTAGTGAGATAATTCTGCATCGTTATCGTGCTTTTATAGGGTTCTGGAACAGAGAACAATTCAAAAATGTATTTAAGCACTATACGCTACCTATCAGATATATTATATTAAATGAACGATATATTAAAACAAGCAGCTAAATATATTGTTGTTCTTTTTGTTGCAGATTACATCGTAATTGGGATTATGATTATAAATGGTTTGGTGTTATGGATGAAATTAAAAGTGTTGTCCTGTATACTTAGTAACTGATTTAGTTGGTAAGTAATAATTATTAAAACATTCAAACCGCAAAATATCTCAGTTTTGAAAAGTTAGTTTCGAGAAATGCGAAGATATTTTTAATGTTATTCATTTAAAGTTACTTTTTATAATATATTGGTTCAGTATATTTGATGTTTTCTTGAAAACTATTTTTTTTGGAATAGAAGATACATGTAAATTATTAAATAATGTTTATACCTTTGTGGCGGATTCATTTCTCCAAAAAAGTCTTTTGGATATTTCGCCACTCGCACTGTGAATATCTAGAAAATAAAATAGTTATTCTTTGTAAACATTGCTTCGTTAGTCCAACGAAGACCAATTTGTCAGTGGTATTTTACTAATAAAACAAATTTGCCTAACGGACAAAAAATGCTTAACGTTTCAGCAAGTAAATCCTCCCATCGTCGGAAGCAAAAAAACACAGAACAAAGAAAAGACTACTTAAAACATATCACTACGACTCTTTCTCACTCATTCTAAGTATATTTTTGTCCGTTAGGCAAATTTGTTTTATTTTCGTGACTGAAAAATTGGTCTCCCTTGGATTAACGCAGCGGTGTTTACAAAAAAACAACTATTTTCTTTGGTAGATTTTCTTTCAGTGCAAGTGCTGAAATACCCAGTAGACCTTTTTGGAAATATACATTATTTTTTACCACAATATAATACCACAAAATCTTTTTTTATCTTATTGGATTCTGTAAGTAATATAAATATTTTATCACACTGGCTACACTAGTAATGTTAGCACCTTTAGCGGATATTAGAGGATTATCATCTAAAACTAAAAATAAACTCTGTTCAAAGTTAGCAAAATATATTAGTCGAATATGACGTCAATGAATTTTGCACTCTTGCCGTGGGAACATGATAAATGTTTCACCTGTCACACTGTTAAGCACATCTAATTTGCAGTTATATAATTATAATACTGTTTTTGTAAACTATATTATAGTTAATTGGCCTTATGAGGTTTCAAGTGGATTAAACTAAATTTCCTTGGAAATTACGTTTTTGGAGTAAACGGTTATTTGTAGATTGTATGAAGTTAATCACAGCGACTTTATAAATCTATTGTGTCCCCCATTCTTGATGTATAATTCATACAGTCCCAGGGCTTTGACAATATCCAGTATCTGAGACTGTTTTACAGAGAGTTCACCATCTCCGATATTAGTCATACCAAATTTCATGTCATGAATGGTTGTTGTCCCGACGCATGCAGTGTGATGAGACGACAATATGTTCTAGTGTTTCTCCATTTTCCCCACAGAATCTGCGTTCGCCGTAGTTTCTTAGCTTTAGTCCACTTAAACCCCGTGACAATCCAAAGATTCTCCTTTACTTAAATCACTGAAAATGTATGATGATTGTACTCGGTCATAACTCGGTCATAAGTTCTAAACCGTTACTTAATAATAATAGTTGTTAATTATACTGGTATTGTCTGTCAACTTAATGAAACAAATATTAAATATAAAGAACCAATTGAATTGAAGTAGAATTTAGTTTTGAATAATTACTAAGTGGTGTATATTATTAGTAAGTGTGATGTAATTAGTAATAATTGTAAGTGGCTGTATTTCTTGAGCAATGAGATTTAACTCCATTCAGTCTTACTTGGTATCAAGATTTTGCAGGAGACTTGTGTGATGTTTCTCTGTATGTTCGTTAATGTCAAGTATTTTATAGCATAAATTGAGTGCTTTGTATTCATTTTTATTTAAGTAGCTTTTACTTCTCAAACTTTAAGTCGCAATTTTAGTTTATAAATATAATAACCTACCGAAGCAAGATTTATTAGCTTTGACACTAAGGATTTTCATATTCCAATATGTAGTTGACGGACAACAGAGCATGCTTTCTAATCATTAACCATTGTGTTGAAATACACTCTTTTTGTTGAACACAAATCTAGTTACGAAAATAAAACAAAACATTTACCTCACTTAAATTATAGGCTACGGTATCTTAATATTTTATCGCGCTATATTTCCGCTACTTAAAAACTTATTAATCGCCAGATTTTTTTCAGATAAAGAAACGTAAAGTATTGTTTTATGGCGCTCGAGCAGTTAGAAAGTTTGAAAACCTTGACAGACACACCAACCAATAAATTATAGAATATGTCCCAAGAATAATATAGAACGAATATTGCTTAGGCCAGTTCATTTGAATCATTAAAGGTCGACGGCTCTAATTTGTATAATTAAGCGTGGAACAAAATTACTTTCGAATTTTCTATGGGATTAGGATGCGGGTGCAATTACCTTAGTTGTTATAATTGCTTTTGTACGCCACAGCCGCCGTAATTAATTTTTTGATCTCTATTCTCTATATAAGGCTAGCTTTTACTGAATATAGAACAAATAATATGTATTGCCTGTTTTTGTTTATATAACACTATCCGGAGTCGTAACACAAATAAACTATTGATTTGTATTTTGTCATTAAATGTATTTAGCATTGACATTTTCTATTTTACTGAAAAAAATATATAAAGAAAAAACTACAATAGTCTTAGATTTTTGTAAACATATGACATACAATTGTTGTATTATTGTATTAGTTAAGATAGTCTTCAACTCGGTTTACAATCATAGTGCCTAGTAAAACCAAATTGTGTCAAAAAATATACTCCAAGTCAGTAGTGCTACAATTTTTAATAATGATGTTCATTTAAATTTCAACGAGTATTCTCGGAGACAATTTGTGAGAATTACCACCACACTTGTTCGCTATTTTCATATAAAATCAAGCATATTTAATTATTTTGGAATGTTTAAATATCCTACTTAGACGCAACTCTTCTCCCTATCTTTTGAAGAGTACTGTGATTTCCTCTAAAAGTGAATTGTATATTGTTAGAATTTTATTTTATATTATTTGTTAGTATATTTTAAACATTGCAATTAATATAAAAAGTAAGATAACGTAAGTAATATAAAATAACGTTAAAGTAATATAATATGTACCTTGGAAGTAATTATATATCGAAAAAATATGGCGAAACTCGTTGAATTTGACACTTTATGTCAGTTTAATAATATATGTTCGTACTCTATGCTTAGATGCTTTTATGCCAATGCTTAAATGATTTTTTTTATATTGTCAATAACATCGCAATAATTAATATTTTTGTCACGTTTGAAAAACATTTTACGCGAGTTTGGTATAACTAACTACCTGTATTTATCCAAGGAAAATTTCTTGAATAAATATCTTTCGAAATTAAGAAAAAAATGTCACAGATTAGTGATGATTCTGTTAATAAGAGTGTGGTCACAAAAGCTGTAATAAAAAATTGCAATGTTCTTGTTAAATCTGCGAAAATTAGTTTAATGCATATAGGTACTGCTGCAAGAGAAGTGGTATAATGTGCAACTCAAGATGATATGACAGTAATGTTTGTGTGTCTGTGGCAGTTAGCCCGTGTGTTTTAATTAATGTATTTTTGCGATATGAACGATAATATCGTTTTGTATAATCTGTAAACTAAATACCTGTTGCTATCGGCATAAAATGAGGGACTAATAACTCCCTATTGATTAATTCATTAGAAGGAGGGTTCAAACAGGCCGTAATAAAACTCTAACCCCTCCAGATCATTATCGTGCGGTCGCTAATTGAATATTTCGTTCTTCTAATTTAGAACCGACTAAATCCGACCTGAAACCGACGGAACGAACGAATTAAGAAACCCGTCATTAATCGGAGCGAATCTAATAAAATAATGAAGTTTGGTTACGCTTCATTTGTTGGCGGCTTGTGCCGAATTGTACTTTTGATTGCTACTACCATCGGCTTCGGGCAGTTCCTCGTTACCAGCCAAGAAATTAATTTAGTTTCTCATTTGACGAACACGCACCTTTGACAAACCTTCAACGACAAAAAATAGGTTGGGCCTAGGTGATTTGCATATTTTAGAGGGGTTGAAAGTTCAGGCCAGAGATGTTTCTGTATATATAGACTACTTATTCGAATTCAATTTTTGATGACGATCGCTGGAATTTTCCCATGCTATTTGCATGTGAAATTATAACTTAAGTCTATATTTTTTATTTTAATCGTGATGATATGTGAGTTAAGCCGCCAGAATGACATAAATCAAAATAATTACCATCAAGATAGGCAGAATTCAATTTAGGGACCTATTTCTTAATTGTTAATATAAATTTTGGGTGGTTAAAATTCCTTATTATATTATTAGTATTTAATGCAGTGTTATTGACTCATATTTCTGAGAATATAATACCTCAAACTATAATCTACAATGCTCAAATAAGTTAAAATAATTTAATGTATATTTGAAAGAGTTGTAAATGATGTGGTTGAACGTATTGACATCAAAACAGCATAGATTGTAGATGTATGGGAGGGGGAACTTAATCACTGCAACCTATTGGGTCCTTCTTTCTTGAGTTATTATTCATCATACAGACTCAGGGCTTTGACAAAAGCCAGTAGCTAAGACGGTTTTACAGAGTTTAGTTCTCCATCTGCGATATCAGTCATATCATAGTTTGTGGCACGAATGGTTGTTGTCTCGACGAACTGAGTGATGATCTGTTCTGGTGTTCCCATTTCTCCCACAGAATCTGCATTCGCCGTTGTTTCTTATCTTCATTTACTAAGGTGTTCATTAATGAGAGAATTTCCTGCTAAAAAACCGCGACAATCCGAAGATTGTTCTTATTTAAATCAAAGAAAATCTTTAATTTTTCTCGGTCGTAAGTTCTGAGAAATCTTCCAGTGTCTTAGACCGTTGGAGGATTCCCATTCCCAATGGAGTATTCCAGGTTCTTGAGTTCCGCTTTAAGTTTGTTTCCATTTGGGAATCAGTACGGTTTGGCAGTCTAGTTAGTGGGGTGTTTGCCCCTGTTCTAGCTAGATAGTTTGCTTTTTCACCACCTTCTATTCCTTGGTGGGCTCGTATCCAGTCTGGGAGGATTTTACTTTCCTTGACTAATTTGTTCAGCTTTTCTGGGCATT